AGTGCACTGGCCGGCGAACATTTTCAAACAAAACTACTGGGTAGAGGTTGTGTACCATCTTCGGTTTGAACGCAAACAGAGCGATATATTGTGGAGCCAGCGCGCGTTTCTTCCTTTGTGATGCGCGTGCTTTCTTCTTGCCTTTCGCTCCCGAGACAGAGCATTTTGTCTTTAAGAACTGTATTTTCACTCATGACCCGAGACAGTTCTTGTCGTAAAAACGCAAAATCGCTGTCTACAACTGTGCATATTTCTTCTATTGCCGTTTTAGTCATTACCTCCATTATGGAGCTTACTTGCAACCTAAATGATATAGATTTGGACATCTTTTAAGGCTCGCGATTTTTTGGTTAGCATGCAAGAAAAAGAAACACTGGCTAAAAAAACGTAAGGTGAGTCACTGAAAAAATTATTCCAAATTGTGGAACTTGGTACTGTGCAAAAACCGGAAATAAAGTGTACGAAAGAAGCCCTCGGCTTTTATTTTGCCGCAGAATATCGTTAGCTTCCGGTTTGTGATAGACTTTGCCCTGCACTCAAATCCTCATACTATCCGTCCTATGAGTGTGTAAGATATAGATCAGATCATATCTCAAATTATAGTGTCTAAAGGAGGTGCACATCAGGATGATTGACTATTTCCTGGATTTTGTCGAAGTGTAAATGTTTTTCTCCCCCTTGCTAATATGGCTTTCTAATAATATTGCCCACAACTCTCACAAGACGGAGGAGGAGGAGAAACGTTAATAAAAAGTCCCCCCATTTATTGTTTATTGCAAAGAAAAAACATAACTGTATTTGAAATACAAAGAAAGGAAAAGGAAAGGGGAAAGTACAGAGATAAACAGAGGAAATAAGTAGGAAAGATAAGATCATAATCCTTAAAGAGTCTGTTATCCTTACTATTATTTACGAGTTTAAGAGATTTTACAGTATGGTAATTTTCTGAAAGAAAGACATCAAATCTAGACAAAGTGTTGGGAAATTTGTTCCTGTGAATAAAAAAAAATTGCAATGCAAAACAAAGAAAATAACAGTAAGTTAAACAGCATGGTTACTGTCAGAAAAATAAAGAAATATCTCTTCCAGGAAAAAAGTTGAAATCACATTTGACCTGTTAGGCTAAAAAAAAAA